TCTATTAAGTGTAGAAGTATCTTTCAAGAGAGTTTTGATTTAACCAGATTTGTCAAATGAGTTTATGTACATACACATTTATATATATACACAAACTGTACTCTTTTTTAAGTCTTTATCATTCTTTGTTTTTAATACTAAAATATAAATAATATCAAACTATAATAGTGACAATATTTGATGCTCATCTCTTATATCAATTTTTTATTTGATAAAAAATTTTCTCATTACATGATGATCACGGATTTTTAAAATTATCTAAAAATAGTGTCATATCTTTTTATTGAGAATAATGAATTCTTAATTACTACTCAATATGATTATGGAGTATCTAAGTCACATTTAATATTAGTTTAATAAAGACACAGATGTATGTCTTTACTAACATTCTAGTTTAGGCGTATATCATTGAGTTCAATAAGCCGTTATATGATAAAGCTTTATTACAAATAAATAGAAATTTATCTCTAAAAAATTCAGAACAAGATTAAATGAATCAAGAAAATTATAAAAAAACTTATCCATTAGTATATTAGGTGAATAAATAACAAGATTAAATGAGGATTTCCCACGCCGTTCAAATTAAAAAAAAAAAAAAAAAGAAGAAGATTAGCAAAAAATAAAAAGCTAAAATAAAATAGTCGATCTAATTAAATTCAAGTACTGAAAATTTCGGCCAATTCAATTAAAAATATATATTAAAATTTTGAATCATGGAAGAGCCTTTTTGTTTTAGTCAATTTTCGAAGAAGAAGAAGAAAGCAAATTTACTAAAATTTCACCAAGTTATTAATCTGATGACTTGTTTCCAAAATACTATATTTCTAAAAATTTAAAATGCATAAATTGTTGGCAATCTATAGGTGAGATAAAATGACTTCTTAGAAGCAGAGTAGGGTGTCAATCCCAGAGTGACAGTGCAAAACTCGTCACGTTGAAATCCAAGAAACAAGGTTTTCTTTAGCCCTACTGGTTTAATTACCTTAAATAACTTAATTAGAGGCTACGGCTGTCGAAATTTTTTATAACAAAGTTTGGATTTTATACAGATCCGTCTGAAACGATTACTCAGTTTATCAAAGCAAATTAAACCGAAAAACCGTATATATATATATATATATATAATGTGAAAAAGAGAGAGAGAGAGAGAGAGAGAGAGAGATAGAGTGTGTGCTCCTCTGAGTCTGCTTAGTTCCACAGTAAAAACATTCAGCAATTAGAACGATTCATCTCATGAAATTCATCATTGAAGCAAAAAGAAAAAGAGGAAATCAGTAGTTTTACTTCTACTAAGAATAGGAATGATAAATCTAAAAGACTTGAGGAGAAGAAACGAACCCTAGACCTTGGTAGGAATGAAGATGGCAGTTTTGATTCTTCACGACTACGCCCTAAACTGGGGATAAAGGGTAACATTTCTCGTATTTATAGCAGGCTCCGACTGACAGACAGACAGACAAGGCCAGGCCCTATACAGAGAAATTACTAATTCATGCCATAACTTCTTAATTATTGTAATTATGAACAATTAATTACTGATTTAAAAAAAATAAAAAATTTTCTAAATACATATTACAATTAAAATTGAAAATAAATTGCAAAAGAATATAAAACTAGTTTTAGAACAGAATTGAATTATATTTGATAATCTAGCAGTTAGTTCAATTCTAAGTAGATACAAATTCTTCCTTCAACAATAAAATAATTTGACTTCCAAAATAATTTGGAGCGTACGTTTTATGATTTAGGAAAAGTAATGTTGTTAATTCCATCTGCATTTTCTTTATTTCTTTTTTAAATATAAAATGTGATATCTATAAACACTAACCTTCTGTTTGGATCATATTAAATGGTAGAATTTTAATGTATGATATTTCACAAGGGTAAAAAAACCGTGTTTATTTTAACTTTCAATGGTAATAAATAGTATTTGACTGGCAAATTTTAAGATAAATTTTTAAATCACCGAATTGGTGATATGTGACTAGCATTCTATTTGTTTCTCATTATACCCCCATCTAATTTAAGTAATTCCATATATGTCATGATAATTTAAAACCCTAATTTCTCTTCTTCCTCACTCAAGCCGCACGCATGGAGGACGAATCTTCTTCTTCTCTGATCGATTTTTTTCTTGTTCTTC